CTCTCCGTGACTCATTTTTAACTATACAGTACTCAAATGGGAAAATGACAATTTAAAAGTTGTGTGGTGTCACAAAGAGGAGAGCAGCAACCAGCCCAGGTTCTGGAGTTAAGCTCTGGTTTTCTAATGGAGAGGGAGGTTGCATTGCTAACCCAAAAGCTGAGCCTCTGGCAGCTCGATTCCACCAGCAGCTCACCAGGAGAAAGCGGAGCAATCTCCTTGTGTGCAATTTACAGTCTCAGACACCCAGCAGCTAGAAACTGGCTCTGACTTTGACAGCAATTGTCTGTGTTTTAGTGTCCTTGAAGCTGCCTTCTAGTTGTTCTACCTCTCTCCATGGCGACCCCACAAGACAGGACTAACCGCTGTGGCTCCATTGGATCTTCACTGACTGGTTTCTCAGGCCTTTTATTAGAATTCAAATCCTGGCTCAGAAAGGATTTTCAGTTGTGATAAGAACAAATTGACTTCTCTGTGACTCAGTTTCCTTAACTGTAACAGCAATAGTGTATTTTACTTACCATATAGAAATTGTGGGAGATATTTTATAATTCATTAAAATCACTTAGATATTCTGTTAACTTTCACCCAATTTACAATAAAAAGCCTGGCGACTAATAAGCACTCAAGAATTTCTGTTGTTGTTATTTGCCATCGAGCCACCTGAGACACACAGTGACCCTATGTACAATAGCTCTAAACTCTGCCCTATCCTGGGCCAGTCTCATTGACTCCAACACACCCACTCCCATTATCTCAGTTACTATGTTAATCCATCTCATACAGGATCTTCCTCTAATGCATGGTCCCTCCACACTTTCCAAGCATGATGTCCTTCTCCAAGGACTGGATCCTCCTGGCCACATGTCCAAAGTATGTTTTCTGTTAGCCATTATATTGCTGTTATTCTACAAAGTAAAATTCCCTCAGTTAGGAACAATATTTGTTGGTGGCCAGAGTGAATTAAACAGCAAGCATGGTATGCACTGGCTTGTACCGAGCAAGGTTGGAAAAAACCCTTGTGTTTATGTGCTAATCTGTGCAGAGCAATTTCATATGAAATTGAATTGGATTTCACCACCTCAGATATGAATTAGTGCCCCACAAATGGGTAAGACAAAGTTGGACCCGTCCATGCCTTGCGTATTGGGTCATCCAACTCTGTTGGCCATAAAAGAAGCAAGGCACATCTGTACCTTGCTCATTGAACTGAAGTATGGTTTAAGCCTAAGCTAGTTAATTTCCTAGTCTACTTTAACCGATACCACTAACTACATTTAAATTACCTAGTGAGTCTACTCAATTTCTTGCAAGCCTCATTTTACCATTCCTACTTTGGAAGCAAATGAATGTCAGATTAAAGTTTCGGGGGGTTTATTTGGAAGACAATGGGGTTGGAAGGGCAGGTGCAGAGTAATATGGTAATGTTTCCAAAACATGTTGCTGAAACTGTGGTCTGTAAATCATAAAACATTCATCTAAATCACTGGTGTGCAGATCAGCAGATCCTGTAGCATTTGTGACAAACCCAAGAATCCTTTTATTACAACAGAGCTCTTACAAATGAGTGAGTCTGGGCCACTACTCACAAAGAAAGAAAATGTCAACCTCATTTTATCTGTCTTGCCAATGATTTCAACTCACTTTCCCAGCGTAACTGTTAGTGACTCCAGTCATTAATTACCTCGGAAGAACCTCCACCAGCAGGGTATTGATTTCTGAAGAGCTATGAATGGTTAACATATCTAGAGATCTATTTGATATATATTTTTTTTTCTTTTTTCCCCTAAGTGACTCTTCTTACTCCTGCTAAATTTTAAAACTCAAGCGGGAAGAAACATTTCATTAGGGTACTTCCCACTAAAATCCAAGTTAGTGATTACACTGTCCAATAAATGAGATTAAGAATGCCACTGATGGAGAGAGACAATAGCACAACAGGCATGAACCTTTTCATCAGGGTTCAGGGACAGCAAAACAGCCAGGAGAAACATGGGCCGGCCCCAAGTTCACTAAATCCTACCTAGCTATGTCACACTTCCTACACACAGAGAGATGGTGATGTGAACAATCTCACAGCTCAGTTACTGAGTGTTTTCTATGTGCTACAGCGTGGGTACCACAGCTCTTAAGAAGTTGCGCCGCTAACCTAAAGGCTGCGAATCGCCAGCACTTGGAATCCACCAGCTACTCTGAAGAAGAAGGATGGCCTGTTTCCTCCTTATGCAATTTACAACTTCCGATACCCAAAGGAGGGTTGCCGTTAGTGGGAACTAACTCAACCACAGTGAGTTTGGTTTCTGGTTTTGGTTGGTTTTTTTGTTGTTGTTGGTTTTTTTTTTTTCAGTTCTATGTGTTCAACTCATTGGTTTGCTTTAATTCTTAAAACCAACCATTAATAACAATAAAATATTATTCACGTTAGGGAAACCAAGGTCATACATTTGCCAAGTACGGGAAAGCAGAAGAACTTGGTCTCTGATAGCTTACCTCTGGAACGTATACTCAGAACTATAGAAAATTTATAGAAATTATGCAAACTCTTTACTTACAAAGAGGGAAGCAGGTAAAAATCATAATTGTTCTTACCCATACATAACTCATTAAGAAATTTACAATTTCAACTCCTACTCTTAAAGCCTGGCACCCACATGTTGTTCTAAAGAGAAACAATTTCTCTAAAGTGAAAAGAAATGAATTTAAAATAATGCTAACTCCTAAGGAGTTCACTCAGCAAAGGTGAAGGTAATGGAGTGAAATGCAATGTGATAAAGGTTCATCCAACCCTCACAGGTGCTGAGTCCAGAGCAGCCTAACAGGAGGTTTGTCATGTGTATGTGTATGTGTTGGGGGAGGGGAATTATAAAGAGGCAGAAGAAAAACACTTTTTCATTTACCACTTGATCATTCTTCAACAGCAAGGGCAACAAGGGATTGTTACTTGGTGAAAAGATTTTATCTTTCTTTTATGGCTTTCATTCTATTGCTCATAAGACAATAAAACTGTACTTACTGCCTGCCAAACAGCCCTTACATATTTGGCATTTTCAAAAAGTCTTGCCCCATTTGACTAACAAATTAAGTCACAACCAAGTCACACTGCCAATACTGTTACCAGCTCACAGTAAAAATTTCTACACAAGGTGTTTGCACTAATTTGGAGATATACCAACATTTGGGAAGATGAAATGCTTCCTGTTGTTGTTAGGTGCTGTTGAGGCAAGTACAATTCATGGCGACCTTAGAAGAACAGACCTGAGTCCTGTCTTATTCTGTACCGTCCTGGCTATCACTGATTCACTTGAGCCCACTGCTGCAGTCACCACATCAATCCATCTCTCCAAGGGTCTTCCCCTCTTTCGCTGACTCCTCCACCCTTCCAAGTATGGTATCCTTTTGAGGGATAAGTGAAGTGTGTTATTTCTTTGAACTGCAGAATTAAACAGTTTCCTTCCACAAATCAAAGCCCAACTATATCACACTGATTTAATTCAACTCTAAAAACCTCTAATTAGTGGTTACATAAAATGGCTAATTATGTCTCCTTCGATTCAGACGGTTTTTGCCATCTCACTTAAAGAGCCTAGGAGCCGTGTAATCAAACAACCCACCCACTGGAGGGAGAATACTAATTAGCATTGCTGATTGGTGACACAAGTTATAATATTATTTTTTTTCTCAGTGGCCCTGTAAAATTTATAAACATGTCAGTGAAAAGGCCAGGTTCTATACAGCGTGAAGGAAAGAGTTCAAAAATACACGCCTCCCTAACCACAGCCCAGACCGGGATATTAACCAAATGCATGTGTGAGCCTCTCAAAATCTTCATAATAATGCGCCTTAATGATCTGCTTCTAAAAGGTCACAGTCTTGAAAACACTCTGAAGCAGTCTGCACTACCACACCGGGGGTCGCGTTGAGTAGGAATCAACTACAAGGCAACCAACAACAAACACCACCAAAACACTTCCTAAAGAGCCGCTAAAGGAGCTCACAACGCCTTCGCGGCGTGGGCTTTTTATCTGGTCAGAAGATGTGAAAACTCAGCAACAGACTTCCCAGCTCCAAGTCTCACCAGCCCATCACAGAGCCGCCAGGCCGCGGCTCCGCCCCGCTCCAGCCTCCACTACGGATGCGTTTAAATTTTTATAAAGCTTCACACTTCTCCGGGCGCACTGCTTGGGGCAGTTCAAAGAGGGCTGGAGGAAATGAGGTCCTAGCCGCGGTTAGGGCTGCTGGAGTAGTTAAGGTTTCTTCAAACACAGGCATCTCAGGCAATGCTCGCCGGACGCTTTCGGCTCCACCTCGGCGTTTTTTGAAAGTAAACTCCTACCTGCCTGTTGCGCTCTCCGATGCGCAACCAGGCTCACCCCCAGGCCTTCAGAGCTGGCTCAATTTGCTTAAGGAGGTGTGAACACAGGCTAGCTCTGTCCAGGATTCTGGCGAAGGGCCAGGCAGCCCCCGGGGCGCTGGCGGTTAACCCGGGTCGAGCCCCGCAGCGGAGAGGGGACAACGGTGGGTACCCTGCTCCGGGGAAGCGTAGGGGCAGCCCGGCCGCAGCGGCCGATACAGGCGTCCGGGTCTCTTTGGAAACACTCGGCCACTCCCTGCCGGCCGGCCCGCCGCGCACCCGGAGCCCCGGAACGCGCACGCCCCACGGGCGCACCCCAAAGTCCTGCCAAGAAGAACGGGTGGTCCGAGGCGCAGGGCGTGAATGCTGCTGGGGCCCTAGCAAGAAGGGTGCGGTGGAAAGCGCGGGGCATGCGGGCGCATCACTCTGCATGGGAGAGCAGTGAGGTCCCGGGAGGGGCGAGACTGGGCGCGGTCCGCAGGAGGGGAGGGGGACTCCCGGGCAGCAAAGTGAGGGTGGTGAACCCTGGGTCTGTGCCCAAGAAGGTGCAGGAGGAAGGTGAAGGGGCACGCAGGATCCGGGTGAGGGCGTCTCCCTGCGAAAGGTCGGTACCCCGCGCGCTCCGCGCCCGGCCTCTCGCGGGACTCACCTCTGCGCTGGCCATGCAGGCTCCGCGGCCCGGCTCTCGGCTCACTGCGGCGCCGGCACTGCGGCCTGCGATGGGCTCCGGTAGAGGCAGAGCCCCGCCGCCGCCGCCGCCGCCGCTGCTGCACTGCTGCTTTCCGCTTCCTGTCCCGGCGCCGCCCCGCAGCTCGAGCCCAGCCCTGAGAGCCCGGCGCGGCCGCGAGCCAAGAGCAGCGAGCGCTGCCGGCCCGCCGCCGGCCCGGCCCACCTGCAGCGGAGGGCGGGGCCCGACCAGTGTCTCCCCTACCCCAGCCACCCCTTAAGCTCCCCACCCTGACACTCGCGGGGCACGAGCGCACACGCCGATGCGCGCAAAGTCAGTCACATACCCACTAGACCCAGAGGATGACCCTCCCACTCACCGTGTACAGATGTACGCATACCCTCACACATGCTTACAGTGCCCCTCACAGAAACACAAATACATTCAGGTATCATAGACACAGACCCAGGGACTGGTCTTGCGTTCAGCACCCCAACAATGCACCCTCAAATTCATTCATGTTTTCATCTTCATACACAGATTTGCGTACATTCACACATATGATCTCGGAATTGACCCATGTCCATAAGTTCTATAGACTGATTCCAACAACTTACACCCCCCTACTGGTGCTCCAGCCTCACACACCTGGAACGCACTCCCCCTCAGATGTTTATGCAGCCAACGTTAATATGACCCACTCCTACTTAACGTTAGTACCCTCACACATACTCTCGTGCCCACACAGTCCAATTCTTGACTCCCTGCTGACAGACACGTGTACTAAGCACATCATAAGCCTGTGGTCCACAGATTGGATACACCCAGCATCCTAGCATATTTACACCCCCAAGATCACTCATGCGTGAAAAACACAGCATGCTTCCAAATGTGTATAAAACTTTATAGTCGTTTAACCTCACCAGAATCCCAATATATATATTTACATGGTACAGAGACTAACCCCATATATACACTCAAATACACATATTCTGACCGCAAATATCCACACATATCCAACCTCAACTGGTACACACATGCACTCACACAGAGTCCAGGATAAAACTCTGCAAGTAATCACATACACTGAGATAATTCTGACTACCAGAGCCAACTTTCTTCCCTCTGCCGTCCACCCTCACCCCCACCCCAGCCCAGTCACCAATCTCCTAGAAACTGCTATAAAATCATGGCTGTGAAGACAGTCACCATGTGTTCAAATCTCTGTGACAGGAGGTAATCTGGGTTCAAATCTCAATTCCCCTAGGTCAGCTTCCCTCTCTGAATCACTGTTTCTGTCTGTGAAGTGGAGAGGAGATAGTGCCAGCCTTACTGGATTGTGAATGGGAATGTGATGAATGTCTAGTAAGCACTGAGTATTTGTTAACTATTATCTTTAATATTTGCAGTCTTACACTTGTTTGTTAAGCCCAAGAGTCTTGGATGGGTAGGATTCAGAGGTCCATGTGGAGAGACCCATCTGGCTGGGTCACAGAGCTGCCTATATGAAGTGGCATAGATTGAAGTGCTGAATTTATTAGTTTTTTGTACCATTGAGTCAGAACGGACCTACAGCTGAACCTCTGCAGACAGTTAATCGCAGGAGAGATTGTCCATCCTTCTCCCACAGAGTAGCTGGTGGACTCAAACCGTCTGTCTTCGAAGATTGCAGCATAGCTTTTTGCCGTTAGGCCACCAGAGCTCCTGACTTTATTAGAGTCATCTACAAAAGTACTATGGGGAGTTGGGTGGGAAAAATTCACCCTACTAATTCTTACTTAATTAAGGATCATAAACCCTAAGGAGCCCCATCCTCATTCTTTCTACCTCCCACTTCCACAACACCACCCAAACACTGTACTTCCTTGGGAGGGTACCATCCCTGAACCTTAGCCTATCTTGCTCCCATCTTCACAATCCCCCGTTTCCTCCACCCCAGGCTCCATTGCTCCTCTACCCCTTCAATATGCAGGGAGGACTCTAGAGGGTCTGGGCTGAGAGTTAGCTCCCTGCATCTCTCATTGCTGTCAAGTTGGAACCAAGTCATAACTAACCCTACAGCAAGTTTTCAAAGTCTGTGAATCTCACAGGGAGAGACTCCACATTTTTCTCCTGAGGAGCAACTTCTGGATTAGAACCATTTGCCTTTGATTTGGCCCTGAAAATCGTAATCCAGTAGGTCAGCCTTGCTCTCTGCAGATTTTGCTAACTATCTACCTACTTGAGTCAGTGCTCAGGAGGAGAATATAGATGTTTATAAAAATGCATCACTTTTTGTTAATATTTTTATCATTCATAAACATTGTGGTTCATGCATGTACACTGTGTTTTATGCAGTCTTTCATTTACATTATATGTCCTTCATTTATATTGTGGGGGCTTTTCCCACTAACAATCACCTCCCTAATAACTACTCCCCTGAAAGAGTGTAATAGACAGAGATCAATGGTAATTAATATACAAAATACCATGTATATGATTATATGAAACACAGTATGAATGAAAGATATCCTGAGCTAAACTCACCATCTGCAACACAGTCCCCACCATAACCTTAGTTACTGTGTCAGTCTATTTCTTCCATGGTCTTCCTCTCTGACAATATCCTCCACCCTTCCAAGCATAGATATGGATTTTGTGTTGTTGTTGTTGTTAGGTGCTATCAAGTCAAGTGCAACCCATAGCAATCCTGTGAACTATAGATCTGAACCTTGTCCTATCCTGTGTCATCCTCACATTTCTTGATTCATTGGAGCCCATTGTAGCAGTCACTGTGTCAATGACCTGGTTGAGGGTCTTCCTCTCCTTCACCGACCCTCTGCCTAGAATTCTGAACACTATATCTCACTCCAAGGAATAGCCCTATGATAGGGATGTTGTTGTTACTATATGCCTTTGAGTCGACTACGATTCGTAGCAACCCCATGCATAATTGCTCTGAACCCTGCTCAATATAAGCCAATCTCACTGTCTCTAACACACCTACCCTCATTACCATAGTAATTGTGTCAATCCATCTCATCCAGGGTCTTCCTCACCTGTGCTCTGTCCCTCTGCCCTTCCAGGTATGATATCCTTCTCCAAATACAGATCACTTCTGGCTACATACCCAAACTATGTAAGACAGAGTCTCAAAATCCTAACCTCCTCATCCTGGTTTCACCCTCTTCAGGAGAGACCTATTTGTTTTCTTGGCAGTCCATGGTATGTTCAATACTCTTCTCCAGTACCACAACTCAAAGGCTTGTGAACACAATTCTTCTTCTGTCATCCTTAGTCATTGTCCAGCATGGATGTTGTTGTTGTTATGTGCCATCGAGTCGCTTGCGACTCACAGCGACCCTATGTACAACAGCCCTAAACTCTGCTCTGTCCTGTGCCAATCGCACTGTCTCTGACACTCCCATCCCAATTATCCCAGTCACTGAATCAATCCACCTCATAGAGGGCCTTCCCCTCCTGCACTGTCCCTCCACCCTCCCAAGCATGATATCCTTCTCCAAGGACCGGTCTCTCCTCACAACATGTCCAAAGTATGTTAGACGGAGCCTCAGAATCCTTGCCTCCAAGGAGCCACCCGGTTTAACCCTTTCCAGGACCAATCTGTTTGTTTTCCTAGCAGTCCATGGTATTCTCAATACTCTTCTCCAGCACCACAGCTCAAAGGCATCAATTCTCCTTCTATCCTCCTTGGTCATTGTCCAACTCTCTGATGCATAACAAGTGATTGCGAAGACCATGGCCTGTATCAGACGCACCTTAGTCTCCAGAGAAACACCATTGTTCTTCAGTACTTTGGAGAGGTCCCTAACAGCAGACTTTCCCATGGCAATGCGCCTTTTAATTTCCTGGCTGCTGGTGCCAAGACTGTTGACAGTGGAGCCAAGCAAACTAAAGCTGTGTACAATCTCAATCTCTTCACCATCCATCCTGATGCTGCCAATTGGTCCAGTGGTGAGAATCTTTGTCTTCTTGACATTGAGCCTCAATCCATATTGTAGGCTGCAGTCCTTGACACTCTGAAGCAGGCGCTTCAGGTCCTCTTCATTTTCACCAAGCAGGGTTGTGTCATCTGCATAACACAGACTGTTGATAAATCATCCACCAATCTTGACTCCACATTTCTCCTCATAGAGCCCAGCCTCCCGGATAATATGTTCTGCATATAGGTTGAAAAGGTATGGAGATAGGATGCATCCCTGGCGTACGCCCTTCCCAATTTTGAACCATGCAGTGTTCCCTTGCTCCATTCTGATGACTGCCTCCTGGTCCAAGTATAGGTTTCGCATTAGAATGTTCAAGTGTTCTGGGATTCCCATTCTTCTCAGAGTCAGCCACAGTTTGTTATGATCCGCACAGTCAAATGCCTTTGCATAGTCAATGAAACACAGATATGTGTATTCCCTGCTTTCAGCTAAGATACATCGAACATCAGCTACCAGCATGGATAGGTGGTAATTAATTACATGAAGTACAGTGTGTAAGAGGGATTGTGTGCATGGGCACACAATGTGCATGGAAAAAGCACAATGTGTAAGGGTGGTTACATACAAATAAATTAAAAATGCATTTCTTTCCTCTTTAAAACATAAGATTATGAATGTAGAACAGAACTGGGAGTTGCACTTATAATGTATATGTGTGAAGAGTAAATACAATTTATACCAGTTTATTATGTCTAGCTACCCTCCGGAAACCCTATGAACCTGGAGAGAGGATGAGAGGCATTTAAGCGTTGAAGACTCTCCTTCATAGGGTTGCTATGAGTCGCCTGCGACTTGACAGCACTTAACAACAGCAACAACCTTACCACACAGTGCTTTTGGTCAAGATGGACAATGTAAAATAAAGTCTAATTTTAAAATTTTAAAGTAATAAATTAATCTTTAAATGTCATTCACTGTGTCCAACTAAGTATTGAAAATGTTTTGTACACTGAATAACAATCTGTATAACCTGGGGCCTGCCCTGGCCCACATTGCCTGTCACAGAATAAGGTCACTGTATTCTGGGGTTCAGCAAGCAGGCTTATTTGGCTCTCAGCTAAATTACAGTCTTTCACTATAGCAACAAGTAGTTGTTGTGTTGTTAG